ACTTGGGTGTCCCCTGGGAGTGTGAGGACCCTCTGCAGCTGGCCATGGACACCAACACAACAGAACGTGGCTCCAGCCAAACCGAAAAATAAATTGCAAAATACAAATGATGCGTTTGGGGTCGGATAAGGCAGCCAGTTGACAGCATTTTTTACAGTTGCACCATGAGTGCAATTTGCCTGTCTCGTCATTTGTTGGATATAGGCCTGTGAGGCTCTGGAAAAACAGCACACTTTCATGTCAGCTGAGAACCGGATGGGGAGCAGAGCGTGCCGTAAGGCTGCTCATTTCTGGCACAGGAAAAGTACTGGTCTGGCTGCTGGGGAGTTAAAATACAGCAAATGGCACTTCTCTGCATTTATCCCGCTTCCAAGCAGCAAATGACGAGTGTGATAGCACAAATATGTGGAAAGCAATTCCACTTTAAGAGGTGCTAAAATACCTTCGATTCAAAAACCCCACAGCTTGGGCTGCACAGGAGTGACTGATGGTGGAAAAACTATCAAATGTCTACATCAACCAGCATCAAATTGCTATTAAAACGACCTGGGCAATAGAGCTCAACAAAGCTCCACTCAGACCGTTCATCTGGAGAGGCCAGCACTCGCCCGGGATGAAGGAACAGCCTGTGACAAAGGACATTCTGAGATAACGGCAGCAGCGACATCCATTTCTGTTAATGACTTATTTGTTCAAACCTGCTGCTCTCTTCACACTTTTGCAGTGAATGTGGTACAGTACCAACCCGGCCTCTATAAAACCTGCCTTTGAAATCTTCAGGAGGAAGAGATACTTCCTCTTAAGTGGCAGAACTAAACTATTTCCAAACATTTCCAGTCTGGATCAGTCCAGTCACTAAACCTGGGATCAAGTGCTGCTCTCAGTTACACCTGTACTAAGCCTGCGGTAGGTCACTGGGGTTGTTGTGATTTTGTTGTTGTTTGGTTGTCCTGACTGTTCAGAAACCAACGAGTGGAATTTTGGGTTTTTTTAACCTCGGTTACACAGTTCTAGGGGAAAAATGCCACTGATTCAAAGGTGGCTCTGGATGGTGGTTGTGCAGGAAGAGGAGCCCTGGCACGGCTGACGGCTGTTACTTGTTTGGTGTCACCACCCAGGGCAAACCGTGCTGTGGGCAAGAGCCACCCACTTTCTGTTTTCCTGCAAAAGCTTGAATGCACACATGCACACCCTCCAAGTATTTGCTTCACGGATAAAAGCTTCATAGCTTTTGTAAGTGAGCTAAAAAGAGAAGCAAATATGCCAATATATATCCTTATTGCTTTTCCAGATGAAAAAAAAAAAAAAAAAAGAGAATAAAACATCTCTTCTGAAGTTAACTTGCACTGACTTCCAGGACCAGCCAGAAAGGTACCACCGAGTCTCTTGGAGCCTGAATTCTCAGAATTTTGTTATAAGCCAGTTTAGTATCATGGTTTATTCTGAAAAGCCTAGATCCTAGCAAGAATGTGAGTCTGTTCCCCTCCGGCTGTACAATGGGCGTGAAAGCCAGCCATGCTTTAGCCGTCGATGTTACAGCTCTCTGCTATTATAGCAACGGGGCAAGAAAGTGCTTGTGTACAACACTCTGTGAGTTGTACATCACTCATCTGTGAGCGCTCCTCTCCGCTCACCGTGCGATTACCAACTCTCCTCCCCAGCTGTGAGCTGCAGAGGCAGCCAGCAGAGCCACATGCTCGACAAGATGCCCCAGACCAGAGCGCTTTTTCAAGGGCCGATGTTTTCTTTCTGAGGCAAGTGTTTCTGCAAGGGTTTAACTTTTTTATATATTTTCCTAAATGAAAAAAAAAAAAAAAAAAAAAAAAACCACAGTGTTCCCATCTTGGAGATTTGTTGTTGCTGCTGTAAGCTGGACTGAAAGAAGAAGAGAGTGCTCCGTGTCCCTCAAACAACGCGTGCACCACCAGCCTGGCTCTGGCTGCTGTGTCGGCAGCGAGGTGCTGGAGGGAAGTTTGGAAATTGGCCCTGGGGGGCTCTTGGAACAGGGAAAGACTTTTGAGCCATTGCTGCTTCATGGCCCGGCCTGTGGAAAGGGCTGAGCACAGAGACCCTATCAAACCTGCAAGAGGCAACAAATTAATGTGGCTCTGAAATGAGGACGTGCAAATCTTCACCAGGATGCATTTTGCCTGGAGAGAGCTGGAAGAAAAAGGGTGTGAACATTAAAAGCATTTAAGAAATCCCATGTATCTCTTTTCCCTAGCACAGGTAAGAGATTCAGACAAATAAACACAGTTTTACACTTCGTACCTGCAGTTTGTTAGAGAGATTATATTTGCTAGTCCCCTACCTTAGCAGCGAAGGATTGCGAAACCCGCGGTGGACAGTGCTTAGAAACGCTCTCAAAAATGCCAGTTATTCCTGCTGCAACCCCAGCAACATGCAATTCCAGTTTGCTCTTTAATAACCCAGCACAGATGGTGCATTACATGCTTTGGAGGATGCGGACCCTCTATTCTACTTCGTGCAAAACCTGGTGCTGCTTCTTAGCTACAGAATAACAAGAAAATTTATTGTTCGGGGCAGATTGGGATCTGTAATCCCAGCACCATCAGTCAGATGGAAAGTCTGATTCCTTAAAAAGCAAAAGCTCGGCTGTAACACCATGGATATATACACACGGATAAAACAGAGATGGCTTTGACGCACAGACTCGTTCATACACCATTCCTGTCATGTCACAAACGTATCAGCCTAAAAAGATTTACTTGTTCTATTGCAGTTCCCAAGCGGAGCCGGGGCCTGACTCTGCCCGTGGAGGCTGCCAGCTCTCCGCGGCGTCCCCACGGGTTTTGCACAACGTGCCCCCAGCCACGCAGCTCGGTCACTGCGCAGGCAGGCGGAGTAGCCCAACGGACCATCAAAACAGGCAAGAAGCGATGTGGATGTTGATTTTTCAGTCACTCCCCTGGTGGCTCATCTGCCAGTCTGAGGCCTGAATTCCGCACCTCGGTGTGTAGGTAATAAAAGCTTTGGTGCAAAATGGTGGAGTTGAGCATGGGTTTCAGTGAATTCCTGAGTCACGGCCGCAGAGATCGGCTGGCCACGTCTGTCCTGGTGTGCCCCTACTGCTACCTCAGAGGGTCGGTTTGGTCCGTTATCCAGAAATAAAGCCTAACGAACCTAGCACCCTGCAAGACAACCGAATTTTCAACTGGGTTTCTTTGGTTTGGGTTTTTGTTTAGTGAAACCAAAGTTCATCGCAGCTGGCTGGATGCCGGGTAGCTGGAGAAAGCTAAAAACAAATACTGTCGCTAAATGAAATACATAAATCGATTTATCAACTACAGGCTGCAGGGGCAATCCCGGCCACGGAGTGCTCTTCTCTCTGACCACGCCAGGAAAGCCAGCCAGGGCTGGCAGCGTGTCGCAGGGGCATGGAGGTTGTTGATTGCTTCTGAATGAGCTTTGGTGGTGCTCTTGCTCCCAGCACGCCTGCTGGGTGATTGGGTTCCTTCCCCATTCCCTTGTCGCCAGAGCTTTTTTTGGTACCTTACGCAGCTTGGGCAGCCCTGAGCACCTCCCCTCCCTTCTCCCCCCCCCCAGCTCACATTTGCAAACCTGGAGGCAAGTGCAAAATTCTGGCAATATCGGTGCAAATTCTGGCCCGCAAAGACGGCGGTGTGGGTAGGAGAGGTGTCCTTCAAGGGGAGGTTTTATACCTCACTGCATTCTCTGCTCTCCCCGCCAGCATGCTTTGGAAACTGCGCTGGGCCAAGCCCCCCGAGTGACTTCAGTTAGGCGCTACAAGAGGAACAGGATCATTCAGGCAGGTGAACCCCAGCGCGGCACCAATGTCCTCTTCCTTGCAAGCAATAACGTCAGCAAGAGGAAAAAAAAGCTCAGCTTGGGGTGTTGCTGAAGCAGGAGGCAAATGTGAAGCGGTGATGTTTGAGGTCTGGGGGAGCCTGCTCCTGAGCCTGCTGGCCCCGCAGAAGCCTTTGTGCTCGGAGCTTTGTCTCTCTCCCATCTCTCTCTCTCTTTCTCCCAGAGCAGAGCTGCCAGGGTTTGGCATTTTTTTTTTTTTTTTTTCGGTAGTCCCTTGTCTGACCGGTTTCCTAATCCATGTGGGCTGAAGATGCTGTCAGTCCGTGTGCCAGCGACCCGGCCGTGGCTCGCCCGGACAGGCGCCCGCAGGACAGGCGGGAAAGAGCAGAAAGTCGGTGTCGTTCCCGAAAACGCAGCCCGGGGACGTGCGCCTGTGTGTTCCTGCACGTGACGACAGGCATCGCTCCCAACCGCGACCGGGTCTGGACCCCACGGTGTCATAACCCCCCTTTCCTTGGTTATAACTGTATTTCGGGGCTGCCTAGAAATACACGACTCAACTTGTCTTACCTGCAAAACGCCCCTGGGTTTCTGGGGAGAGCACTTTGCATTTCGGGGGTAAAGCACCCGGTTCCTTTTCCCTGTGGGCACTTGCTGCCTCCGCACCAAGGGAAAAGCAGGGCAGGAGCCTGCTCAGCTCCTCGGGCTCAGCGCCCTGCAGTGGAGCAGCGTGTGGCCAGGCTCCCTCCCCTCAAAAACCCACCCCCCTGCTCTACATCCACGGGCTCTGAAATGCTGCTTACGTCACTCCCAACGTATTTGTGATTAGAGGGCTGTTTGGAGAATTCGGCCCTCGGGGAGTTTGGGCTGGAGCCGAGCAAAGGTCAGTGACAGAAAGCCCTTTAAACCCGCGTTTAGCAGAAGACCCGATCCAAGCTCCGCTTAGAGCAACCCCTGCCAGCACTTGCAAGGCGGTCGTGTGTCAGCGTGGAACCTCCAGCTACTCATTAATCACTTCACTCAGTTCAGATGGAGGACACAAAGCAAGGGGGAGGTGGGATATTTCCAGAACAAACCTATTTTTTGGTTACACACGAATGTCTTGGTGTCTGCTTTGCTGACAAGCTGGAGCCCCACCCCAGCCATTCGTGCTCAGCCTTTGGGAAAAGAGTGAGACCGCTCTGAGGAAAATGATTTAAAATGCCTTCAGATGCCTTTTCACTTCTTTTTATTTAATTCCATAAATATTTTCATAAGGCTCAGTGTCTTTACAACACTTTTTTAAACACTTTTTTTTGTTTGTTTTATACACACAACTTTGACACTTGTTTGACAGGGTCAAACAGTCCAATATAAACAAAATAATAAAACTGGCAAGTGCGGATCAGCTGGGTTACCAAAATCCTTTTTTTTTTTTTTTTTTTTTTTTGCTCTTACTGTTAAAACCCCAAAAGCACTAAAATATCAGTATTTGGCTTCAAACTAGAATTTTAAAAACCTTTTTTTTTTTTTTTTTAAATTCTCTGCTACAAGTCCCTGTCGTCATAGTGCCTTTAAACTCCTACAGACTCTTCTTTTCTTCTTAAGGAAAAATAAGCTCGGTGATGCCATGCAGAACTTACAATAGCTACTAAATATACATGTTCCCTGAAATGTAGCTGCAATGAAAAGATGACAGAGCATAAAGAGAACAAAACCAGAAACCCAAAGCACCACAGTGTACTATCAATAACATTGCAGTGGACGGCCAGTGACCATCCAGAAACTGAAACAAATTTCAAATATATTTCTCTATGTATTATTTTCTATTTACAACTGTTAGATGCACCTAGGTTGGTTCTTGTTTGATCTTTTTGGAGAGGGTGGGGAGGCGAAAGTCTTGAATTTAGATCCTCTGTTCTAGTGTCTAGGTCAAGGGGTAATGCATGTCATTTACCTAGGGAAGAGGGTATTTTTATTCTTTATATATAGAGAGAAATTCAGCCAGAGAAATACCGTAAACATGTAAGTTTGTTACAACTCTCTTGTTTCTGCATGTGGGATGGCAAGTGGGTTCCTCCTGTCTGGCATTGAAATGAAAGTCTGTACCAGATGCTCAGTCAAAATCCCCCCAACCCGATTGCACCTGCGCTGCTCCCAGCGCCTCCAGCCGCGGCCGCCCAGCCCCGCTCCCTATTGGGAAAAGCCACGGTTGGCAGCAAAAGTGGGACCCAGTGCTGGTTCTTCTTTGTGACAATGCTCCATCTCTTGCAGCACCTTGGCAATTTATGGAGGGGAAGAGCTTTCTTGAAGGCCATTGCCTGAGAGCCAAGCCCCTCTTCCCTCTGGAACAAACGCCTGCATCTGCTTTGCCTGCTGCCTGGCTTCGGCAAGCACGAGCAATGCTAGCTTGTTTTAGCTTTCCATTTAAGAAAGAAGCTGCGAGTCCAACAAGTGGCCTTGTCAGATCAAGCGAGTCTTGATTTATGATGCAAATAATGGTGTGGCGGTGGTGTTTCTTTTTTCCTAGTGCTGAATATTTAGGAAGCATCTTCTCATAAAAATTATGGATGTCTCATTCTCACTCTCTGAGGCACAAAACAGTAAATGAACAGGCTTAACTAATGTGCTTGTTACTTTTTTCCCCTAAGCAATTAAAAAGGCAAAGGAATAGTGAAATTTTCATCACGTTGAGAATAGTTTGTAATCTCTCTCTTTCTCTCTCTCTCTGCATCTCTCCAGCCATTCAGAAATAGTAAAACATTCAGTTAACTTCTGAGATCCCACCTCATTCACTTCTTTAAATACCCATTCTGTTAAAGAAACAAAATGATATTTGCTACATATTCAGTATTAAAATCTGACCATAAAAATGCAAAGATAGAAAAGAGCATAAAAATAATTTCTGATATAAAATTGGGTTGCTTCCTATTTGGGATTCCCGGTGTTTCGCTGCTGCCTGTCACAGAGGGGCCACTCTTCCTCTCCAAAACACTAATCTGGCTTTGCTGTTCATTGATAGTTTCTAGATTACTAAAAAGTGCTGAGCTTATTTTTGTACTTACAATATAAAATACAGCCACTGCCTTGTAACATGCCCTGAAATAAAGCAGGCTCCCACGGAAACACTGAAATCACACTCTCTGCTCTTCCCATTCGCTTGTATTTCTTAGGGGAGGAAAAAAATATGTCTCCACGCTAGTTGGCCTGGGGTGCTTGTGTGGTGTATCAGATTCAAAAGAAAATGATAAATACCGTGATCAATCACTTCTTCCCACACTTTAAAAGTAGCTTGCAGAGTAGCTCTGCAAGTTTTTAAGTTCATCTTCTAAATCTGGTTAAACAGGCTCGTTTGCCCTAGGAAAAAAAAAAAAAAAAAAGGCATCCTACTGCAGAACGATTTGTTTTACAAGCTTAAACGTAAGCTTTTGCGCTTGTAAACAAATGTACTTAAGGCTGAAATTGTAGGAAGTGTCTTTGAAAACAGGGGCATGAATCTCCAGAGGGAGAAAAAGAGAGAGAAAGAGGCCCGGAGAGTTTAGCTAATCACTCCAGAGCCCACTGACCCTGATACACCTCTGCTGAGCCACTGATGCTGTTTCGGTTGAACTGATCACTGATTTAGCTTAGTAATCGGGGCTGTAGGGCTAAACTTCTCAGGTCACATCTGGATCTTTCCTGAAAGGCAGTTCTCAACTCCTCTGCAGCTCGAGGTCCATTAAATACCAGGTAAATATTTTCAATTACTTGGGCGGTGAGCCTGCTGCTAAGGGGTGGCTACCGGCAGCTCGTGTTTGGCTTGGGAGGTCGGTGCCCGAGCGAGGGCAGGGCTCTTGCATGGACTGGAGTGAGAGCAGGCAGCGTGTGCAATCACCGGGCCTCGCTTTTGGGGTCACTGCTCCTGTAAATGGCAATTTAGTGGTTCAGTAACGCGGTACTGTGCAGGCGTGAGTGTGGCCAGCAGGATGGGACCTTAGTTCCTGAAGAAAGAAAACTGGCCATTCGTTGGAGCCTAATAGCCAATTTTCCTCTCGCTGGGATGGAGGGCGTGAAGCCATCGGTTTTTAAGCTTTTATCTTTGCATGGAAAACAAAGATAGGAGTGGGCTTTTCAGAGTCGTGTCTCAGCTTAAAAAGAAAACAAATCAAAGATAACCCCACAGAAATAAAACTAAATGCAAAAGAAACAAAAGCCCCTGATATTCTTTTCTCAGTCCTACTCCGAGTGCGAACAAATCACACTGAACTGAGAAAAAGACAGTGCTTAAAAAAAAAAAAAAAAAAAAAAAAGGCAAAAAATTAACAGAGGAAACCCCATCTCTCGCTTCCTCAATAGCCGATACCCCTTCTGCTTCTTTTCACCTGCCCACAACAAAACAGTTAAAGCCAGAGAAATACTGCGCAGCAGAGCGTGGTGCACAAGGGAGCACATCCAGACAGGCACGAGTCAGACCAGAGAATGCAGGATGGGACGGGGACGGGGACGGGGACGATGCTCTTCGCTGAAATGGCAACTCCGGGACAGCCAAGGAAGGGACGGAGAGGGAGGGAGAGGGAGCAGAGACCTCCCGGCACTCCAAAAAACAAACAACACCCCCCCCCCCCATAAATAAAATCAAATAAAATATACACCAATGTAGTCCATGAGGAACTTCGATGACGAATTCACACAAGCGAGAAAGCATTCTGGGATGCCAATGACGACTTGAATGAAAATGAAGAAGGAAGGAAAAAAAAAAAAAAAATAAAATGTCCGACCAATGGAATAAAATAAAATAGGTCACATGATTAGAAATCATTGGTGCTTCCTAGTATCTAGTAGCAGATTGCTTCCCAAAAACAACAAAAAAAGTTTTTGGTCCTTCTATATATATACATATATGTATATATATTATTATTTTTAAAATGTGTGTGTGTGTGTATATATATATGTATATATATATTTAGTTGCAACAGTGCTTCTCCGAAAAAAGGTCCATCTATAAATATAATTTTATTTCTTTTTATTTTTAAATTTTAGTTCTTTTAAGTTAAAATTCTCCATCTCTCTAGGTATTATTTTTTGAATGGTGTTAACCTGCTGAAGTTTTGCCAGAATGGTGCCTGGCTGCGTCTGGGTTCGGTGAACTCGAAGACCTGGGACTGGGATATGCCATCTGTCACCATGTATTGTCCCTGATTTAATGGATCCTGGGGTGGTGGGTAGGCTGGAGGAACCGACTTGGAGTAGCTCACACCTGCATCGATGATTGGGGGGAAAAAGAAACAGATCAGTCAAAGTGCAATTGGGTCAAATAGTCTTTCTTCGTCATGCTATCGCTTCTTATCACTTAATTACCAGGGTCCCAAACAACAGGGAGACGTGCTAGAGACGGCAAATCTACGGAGGAACGCAGCAGCTGCCTCAACTCTCAGCTCAGAGGCCACCTACGCTAGACCACGAGTTGAAGATTTGGAGAAGAGCCATTCCTTCTGTACTGGCAGAGTTTCGCCTGCCCTACGTGGAAAAGTCCTGCGTGACCTAACGCGGCACAAAGGCGGCCAGGCCGTAGGCAGCCCCGGTCTGGTCAGACGAAGGCAGCCAACCTCACCGCTCAGCCCCCTGGGCAAATTTCACACTTGCTGGTTCCAAGCTCGTTGCCACCCTCCCTCCCAGCTACACTTAGAAAGCATTTTTTTTTTTTTTTTTTCCCACACCCCCCACACCCCCCATCCCTCCCCCCCCCGAGCAGCGTGACCCCGAGGGCCGCTCGGCCCCGGTTCCTGCGCCAGAAGGGAGCAGAGCTGCTTTGGAAGGAAGCGCTACGCTGCGGGGACCCGCGCCGCTTCAGCGCTAATCTGCCTCTACCAAGGGCAGCTCAGATTGTAGGACTTTTCCATAGGGTTCGTTTTCAATTTACCAGTCTGGTTTCAGCCCAAAAGGGCTGCACGCGCCGCAGAAAAGGCTGATTCTGCTCAATCCAAACTGGTAGCAGTGGAGGGACTGGCAAGGCTACGCTTCCAGGTTCGAGAGGCGTAATTCCCACACTGGTGAGCCACAGGTCCTGCGCAGGAACGGACGGGGTGAGGGGACGCTGCCCTTACAGCCTTCCCACGGGAAGGGGGAGCTTCAGCAAGCTGGGACCTACGCAACCTCTTGTAAAGGATGGTGTAGAAAGGGTGGCTCTGGGTTGAATGGAAGCGGAACAGGAGGGAGGCGTGTCACCGCCAAAGTGCAGACTACAGGGAACAGCACTCTAGCTACTTCTGCATTTATTTCCTTCCCCGCAACACCACTGGCGAGGGATAATCCCTCCGTCAGCCTCAGGGTAGCGTGATCGGCTGGAAACCACAACTCCAGAGAAGGGCAGGGAGGAGAGAGGAGCTCTGAAGCAGGTTGCTGTAAGCTCTGGCCATCTCTGGATCCCCTCTGCTGCATGCAGAACTGCTCTTCCTTCCGCGGGGAGGGCAGCCCCGGCCGCGTGTCGGGTGGCAGCTTCGCAAGGGCCATCTCGAGGCCATCGCCTCCCCTGGTTTTAACCGCAGGAGCGAGGCGACTCTACCCAAGTAGATCAGTGTCCTCATCTGGAAAGCGGGATGGCATCACCCACCTACCTCACACGAGGGTTGTGAAGCTAAATTAATTAATGTTTGTAAAACACTTTGAGATCCTCGGCTGGGAAGGTGCTAGAGAAGGCAAAATACGGTGATTAGCACCCAGGTACCACAGCAACGTGTGTAAAAGAAATGCAACTCTCTGCATTCAGTTAGCGGTTCCTACCCACACACAAACACATGCTTTGGGGGACCAGCGCTGGCCGGCCCGGGCACACGGAGGCTGCACACAGTCGGGTACTTACAGACAAAGGAAAAAAGCCTCACAAAAATGCACTCACGGAGCTCATCAGACAACTTTTGTACGTTGCTGCCTTACAGTTCAGGACCTCTTTTAGATACAAAGCTAAGGCTTTAGTATGGCTTTACAAAAGAGAATTAATTTTCTTCCCCTTGCTATAGAATTTACCAAGCAAGGGTTGTTAAAATCCTCAAAAGGTTCAGACCAAATGGAGATATCAGCTTGACTATGTCTAACTGGTTTTCCCCTTCTTTACAGCAAAATACCGTCGAACCATGCAGCTCTCTGTCCACTGTAGGGAGTAACCAAAGAGCTTTCCTTACGGTGGACAAAAAAAATGCTCCATGATTCATACCTATGAACCTTTAACAAATTCATCACCGTGAATATTTCATACTTATTTGAAAAGAACAACCTGGAGACGTTCTGCATTTGTAGCTGCATGCTGGAATAGTTACTGATCAACAAGTTTTCTACTCTGTCTTGCCCAAGCTCCTCTCTCCCACGGACAGCCTGCAGAGCAGAGTGCAGCCCCAGAGCCCTTGCTGTCCGGGGGTCAAACCTGGACAGGGTGACTTTGAGGATCCCTGAGCCAACGTCTGCACCGCCCTCGTTGGCAGGCCCCAAGCTGCAAAATTCAATTTGACTTTACCGCACTATTTGATTTAAGCCAATGATGTCCCATAAGGCTGGAGCATGGGCTGGTGCTCATCTCTGCCCTACCTCCTCCAGCCCTTCTTCTACCAGTGTCCTGCTCCGACTTGCCTTGCTGAAGGCACGACAACGTGCCGGCAGCGTAACCAACTGCAGCGGCTGCTCCGGAGGGCAAACTCCAGCCCTAAACCCATACAAGAGCGCAGACAGTCCCCTGGAGGCCACCAGCCTTTAGTGCCTTGGCCGCTTTTCCCAGCAGAGACGGGTGAGGAATTCTAGGATGTGTGGGAAGGTTAGGATCTGGTACAGGTCCCTTACACGGCTGGAGTTGGGAAATACATCTTCTGTCTGGTAAGTGCTTTGGATCTTTGACTGACCCAAAGGACCAGGAATTACTTCAAAGGCAACTAATCCTTGCGTCACCAAGTTTACTAACTAATGTGCAACACAAAAGAGCTGTGAATCTAACGCTGCTACTAAGGGACATGCGGCAGTTGTTTCTAGCTTTGGAAGACCTTAAAACCACACTGCTTTAATGACGTGGCCCAATGTCTTTTGTTTCCTGTGGCTGCAGAGTAGCAGTCAGCCTTGTGACGAGCTGGGCTGAGCTTTTGACCGTCTCTACACCGATTTGTGGAGGGTGAACTAATGTATTTTAATCATGATACAGAAATGCTACGAAAACTACTGGATCAGCAAAATGTTATGCGCTTGGAAGGCTGAAGAAGTAGAGAAAGGACAGTCTGGCTGAAGTCCTCTGACATTGATGGAGTTACACGGCAAGGAATGTGATCCAGAGTCTGTCTTCTCCAAAAGAGAAAAAGGCAGACTCCCCTGGCCAGATCACTAGCAAGCCCCGTTCAGTTCTTTCCTAAAATAGGCTTTTTGGTCCAATCTCCTGAAAAATATCTATCCTTGCTTGAAACATACCCATGCACACACTGCCACTTCCCTCAGTAAAGAAGCTCAGACCCATATTCTCAAAGTTGTATGTGCGGCCCTGCCTGAGGATCTAGGCTATTGGCATTAACATCTAAGCTGGATGAACGTCAAAAGCTCCTGGCTGGCTCTAACTTGAATAAGCAGCCGAAGATTTGCATATTTATCATATTTATCAAATGGCCTTCATGGCCTAAATAATCAAAACTGCGGATCTCAATGCCATGCATAATTACCGTGTGTTTGTGGGCATGCAAATAAAAACATTTGGGCTCTAGCAAGTCAGGCTGATGATTCCATAAGAATACATTTTCTTGTGAAACTGTGATACAGAACTTTGCAATAGCTTGAGGTGCCCCACGAATGGCTTTGGGTTTCTTGTTTTTGTTTTTTGTTTTTTTTTTTTTTTTGGACATACCCACGTTCTTGAAAAGGTAGAACATGGGAATTGGTGGGGGGAGGAGGGAGCTCCACCTAATCTGCTCATTTTAAAATCCTGGGAGAAAGTATGGTGGGCTGGTATTTTTCTGTTCTGCTCTGAAGTGGTTTGCTCCCTCATCAGAACTTGGGGCCGTTGTGCAAAATTGTCCCTTAAGGGATTTCTTTTTTTCTGTATGCAAAGCCACAACTCCACTGCAATTCAACAGAAAGAAATGAGCAAAGCTCTTTTCCAATGCAATTTTGGGCTGCTTGGCAAACAGAATTCAAAGTGCAGAGGGAAAGAATCGATAGGTAAGTAATGATTTCTAGACACAGCTGCTGCGCTGCCTTTCCAAGGCGTAAGAAAGCAGCTACACACCGGTGACCAGACTTGGAGCTCCTTCTGCTGGTTCACGCATAATTCTGCACTGTGACAGAATATAAAGGCTGCAGCTGCATAGCAAGATCGTTCAGCAGGGTGGGGGTTGTGGAAATCTGTTCAGAATGAGAAAAAGAAAACTCCAGGGTTTATAATTTGGCTAGACAAAACTGGTAAAGAGAGATGCTGCGCTGTCAGCTGAAATCATGGCTTTTTTTAGTACTCGGCAGCGTCACTTGGAATCTTTCTGATTTCTCAGCTCAGAAGAAAACAATTATAAAGACTTAAAGCTGTCTCTTTTCCCCTTCTAGTTCCTTTTTGCCAAAGTGTCTCTGCTATTTGAGGTTACAACACGACTTCGGTAGCTCTTGAAGATTTTGGAGCACGCTATTAACTCACAGGCAATCCATACGGACACGTGCAGACAGAGCCAGTTATAACAGAGCAGGACAGCTACATTAACATTGCACCTCTCAAGAGTTAATGCAAAATAGACACAGAATACACTCGCATTTGCCTGCATATAACCATGGAAACTTGCCTGACAAGCTGCTTATTCCATCCTCAACCTTTAAGATTTTAGCTTTTACTTTGATCAGGAGCTATTCCATAGGCTCTTCTTCTACCTAGCTGTCTAGATAGCAGGCTGTTTGTTAGCCAGACTTGAGTGGGAGACAATAAAATAGCAGCACCTGCTTTCTGCACTGGCCGAGCGGCGGCCGCTGGTGGGACGGGAAGCAGCGCTGCGCTGCGGAACCTTTCATCTCCCCGTGATCTCCACAGCAGCTGAGCCAACCTGCGTCCTTCGGGAGCCAGGCTCAAAAATCCCAGAAAGTCAGTTTCCTTCTGAATATTGTAGCCCATGCACAAGGTGGGGTAGGCGGGAACGTGCCTCAAGACCACTAATCGTTGTATGGTTACTTACTCCTGCAACAGCGACAAGTTTCATTTAAAGAAATGCGAAGCAGTAATGGCTGAACGGGTACAGCCCTTTGCCTTTCTTCAGCACA